AAAATCTAGCCATAAAATGTCAAAAATAGGTCAATGTGACCTACTTTTTGGTCGTCGATCTCCGAGAGCCCAAGATGCATCAACTGACAAAGTTTGATGATTCTAAGCAAAATGGTACCTCTTCTACTGACTTAAATCTAGCCATAAAATGTCAAAAGTAGGTCACAGTGACCTACTTTTTGGTCGACATTTTCTGAAGACCAAAGATGCATCAACTGACAAAATTTGATGATCATAGGTCTTAAAGTATTCAAAATATGCCTTTTAAACAATTTGAAAACAAATGCCTGCAAAGTTCAAAAAGTAGGTCACAGTGACCTACTTTTAATAAATATATCTTAAGGACCTAAGATGCATCAACTAACAAGATTTGGTGATTCTAAACCTCTCAGTGTCTGAAATAATGGGATTAAATGTTTTATAAAAGATTAGCAATAAAATTCAAAAAGTAGATCACGGTGACCTACTTTTAAATTGACGTTGTTTAAGGACCCAAGATGCATCAACTGACAGAGTTTGAAGATCATAGGCCTTAAAGTGTCCAAATTATGCCTCCAAATCAATTTGGAAACAAAAGCCCGTAAAATGGTGCTCCGTACCTCTCCATCCTTGATATCAACATACCGATAATTTTCGTAGAATTTCTTTAAAATACAGAAAGTTTGCCCAAAATTTATTGGAATCTTTAAGATACATATTTTTGTGAAATTTCCTAACAATATGACTTCTGTAAGAGTAAATAAGAGCACAGTCCGCGTAATTTTTTAACGGCCCTCGTATATTTCAAGAGTGACTGAACCAAACGAAAAAACATAAAATTAAAATGTTCATTTCAATTCAAAGTCAAAAAGAATTGAATTTTAAGAGCAGCTAAATCGGGAGTATTGGATTATTTATTTTGCATATCAAAGATCATACAAGTCAAGGAGTTGAATTTCACGAGTGGCTAAATCAAGAAAATATCAAATATACATGCAAATTTTGAAAGACGTGGAGCTGAATTTTAATAACCATAGTAACCAAATCAAGAAGTTTGAATTTTGTAATATACATATCAATGAAAATAGAGGATTTAAAATTTAAGAGTGGCTCAGTCACGAGAAATGAAACATATTGATGTGCATTGAAAAATGTCAAATTATTTGTCAATTTATGAAAATGGGGAAAATATTTCATGTGTATATTAATGATTTTTTTTCATTTGCGCTCTTTGTAAATTATAGCGAGCGCAGCGAGGCGGCGCGAAGCGCCGGTCGCGTAGCGAGCTCAATAGACTAACGTGTACGAACGGAGGAAATTCAGGTTGAAATATGCACATTGTTCCAATAAAATTTTATCTCACCGCGTGAAAAAATTCCAAACTCCCAATAATGCTTTGCGGTGCATAGCAACTTGGAGGTTGAAACATAGCAACAACTTACTTGAAAAAAATACAAACAACGATTTAATGCAATCTCCGGATCCATTCCATAAAACTATCGTTTGCGTCCTAAGTCAAAAGGAATTTTTATTTGACGTAATACTTTCGTCTTTTCAACGGTTCGTGAATTTCCGATTTTGTCGGAAACTTCCGAGAAGTTTGGAATCTCGATCCCGATGCATGGGAAATGATATATTTTTTATTGTTTCGTTTTCTTGTTTCTTTTTCTTGAATGATAGGGCCATAGACAGTACATGTGTAGGCTTAAGATAGAAAATAAACTGCGCTCGCCCCAACGGTCACACCGTAAAACATATTAATTCCCTATTTGTAATATTGTTGAAGGTTGGTACTCCTAGTTTGAAATATTTGTGTGGAAAGCTGCTTTATTTATTTTTTCATGATTGCACATAACACATATAACCCAAATATGGATCAGAGACCTCAACTCATTTTAATACGTGTGGCGTAGTAGTTAGAGCGTCTGATCTAGAGTTGCAAAATAAGCAGTTGATCCTTACATTGTGCGTTTGATACCCCCTCTGGGAACTGGCGACTGCTCCTTCATGTGAGACCGTATAAATCGAGGTGCTGTGTCGCAGTGTGTGCTGGCACGAAAAAAGATCCATCACTGATCAATGGCCCTGTGTGCCGAGTATAGGCCAAATTTGCAGCTCTCCACTGGCAAGCGGTGGCGACTAGTTGTATGAGTTAAAATTCTCGAGAGGGATGTTAAACAACGTACAAACATTACCATCAACTCCTAGCAGTACTTTCAGTACATTGATTATGAGATGGAAAATTATATGAAAGCTTCTTAGTGTGATCAGACTTATTATAATTCAGGACATGCTATTAAATTCATACAGTAAACAAGATGTGTTTGTGAAACACTGATGCCCCCGTATGGCAACATAGCAAAGGTTAATATTTCTCAAATGCAGATCAAATATGTTGATACATTAAGAAAGGCTTTTTCACAAGAAATACAAATGTGAAATATAAAACCATAGCACCACCTGTTAAAGGGTTATGACCGAGGTTAACATCTTTAAAGTTAGAGCAAACTTCCGGGTCAAGGTAAGAGGGTCAAGGTTATTGGTTCAGAAAGAAAGGAAGTGTCTCAAAGACTATATATGGGAAGAATTAAAGCGCTGGCCCCTACCGTTCAAAAGTTATGGCCAAGGTTAAAGTTTGTAAAAAATAGGTCAAACTTTAAGGTCAAGCCAAATGGTCATGATGTTGATATCCAATGAAAGGTCTTCTCACAAGAATTACATATTTGAAGTATGAAAAACCCTAACCCTTACCGTTCAAAAGTTATGACAAAGGTTAAAGTTTTTTCGTAAGTATAAAAATCTCCAAGGTCAAGGTCAAAAGGTCAAAATTGTTGGTTTCACATGAAAGGTCTTACCAAAAAAATTTGATATCTGAAATATAAAATTCCTAGTATCTACCGTTTAAAAACCAGAACCGAAGTAAAAGTTTGGAATTTTTGTGTAAAAGTGGGTCAAAATCCAAAGTCAAAGTCAAAGGGTCAAGGTTCTTGATATAAAATGAAAGGTCTTGTCACAAGGATTAAATTTGTGACGTATGAAATCCCTAGTTCTAACCCTTCAAAAATTATTTTCAAGGTTGTATTTTAAGGTAGGTCAAACTCCAAGGTGAAGGTCAAAGTCCTTGGTATCCAATAAAGATTCTTTTTACAGGAATTACATATGTGAGGTATAAAAGCACAAGCATTAACCGTTCAAAAGTTATAGCCAAGGTTAAAGTTTTATCATAAGTACAGAAATCTGAAAGGTCAAGGTCAAAAGATCAAGATTGTTGGTATCCAATGAAAGGTCTTTCCACAAAGAGTACATATGTCAAGTATAAATGTCCTGGTTTCTACTGTTTAAAAGATATGACCAAAGTAAAAGTTCAAAATTTTTGTGTAAAAGTGGGTCAAACTCCAAGGTCAAGATCAAAAGGTCAAATCTGGTGGTACTTAAAGAAAGGTCCTGTCAAACCGAATACACATGTGAAATATGAATGTCATAGCTTTCCTAAATCATAAGTTATGGGCAAGGTTTAAGTTTTGCGGACAGACAGACAAACAGACAGAGAGACAAACAGATGGACACGACAAAAAATATATACGGGGGCATAAAAAAGCAACAGAAAGCGAGAATTTGATACATATGTTGATTTCCGTTTTACAAAAACGCGCATTTCGTCATAAAAATATATGGGAATTATATTTATTTTAAAGTACAGCTCCGTGTAAAAATCATGCAGAGGGTGATTCATGGGGGGGGGGGGGGGGGGGGGGTTCAGAATTTTTTCAAACTTTGCATGTTGGTAGAGTATGCATAGATACTCCAAAAAAAATTATAATTTTTTTTTAAATTCTCTCATTGGTATCCATGGCAACCAGCAAACTGTTTTGGACAAAAAATGGCTGAAATTTCCTCTAAATACAGGCAAAAATATCAGTATTGAAGATCAAATTAAAAGAAAACTAAACAATAAAACACATTTATGTTTATTTCTTATTAAAATACAGCATAAGTAGTTACTTTTCATAACTAGTCAAAATATATTTATTACCAGTAATGAGTTCCAATTTTAAGCTAAAAAGGGGAGGTAATCCATATTTGCAAAAACTGTCAAATATTCATTTTTGAGGATTTTTATCTATCAAAAATTTCTAAAACCCCCACAGCTAATCTAAAAGGGCATGGTGGTTTCATAGACACTATATTCTAAAGCAAATAAAATAATAAAAACATTTTTGTGCAAATGATTATTAATTTCCCAAAATAACTGATGAATTTTGTACAAAAAATGGTAATTTCACCCTTTTCGTCACAGTCCAATATATGCCATATATGTTGGCATGTAAAAAATAAATAGAATTTCAAAACCATTTTTTTTATATTACCAATTTCAAATACAATTAAATTAATTACTTTTTATAATTAATCCAAATATTACCACGTCCAGTAGTAGTTTTTAATTTTAAGCTGAAAAGGGGAGATAATCCATGTCGAGAAAAACTGAAATTTTCAATTTTAAAAGGATTTACAGCTAAATTCAGCTATATGATAAAAAAATTAAAGAAAAAATACAATACTGCCAAACAGAAAGACTGCACTTACTTCATAGACATCATACCTTATGGCAAAAAATAATAAACATTTTTGGGCAAATGATTATTAATTTCCAAAATTCATTGAAGAGTTTCATACAAAAAATGGAAATTCACTTTTTCGTCATGGTCGAATAAATGACATGTATATATTCATGCATGTTAAAACAAAAATAGCATTACTAAATAATTTAAATTTCTTTATAGTTCCAAATACAACACAATTATTTATTTTCATTAATCAAATTATATCTATGTACAGTATTATTTCTAATTTCAAGCTGAAAAGGGGAGATAATTCATGTTGACAAAAACCAACAAAATATCAATTTTTCAGGATTTCAGTTATCAAGAAAATAATATACCGGTATATCTATGATTTAAAAAATAGCCAAACAAAAATGCTGAGTACGTTTCATAGATACCATACCCTATCAAAAATTTAAAAAAAATCATTTGCACAAAAATCATTGTGATTAATAATTTCACCAAAAAAAGAAGTAGCATCATCTTTTGTCAGAGTCAAATATATACACCATGTACACACGCCAATACATGTTTACATGTAAGAATATCAGTTTACATTTCAAAATAAATTACTTTACATTTCCAAATTCAAATACAACACAAATTATTTTTTCATTAATGAACAGCAAAATGTTGTAAAAAACATTTGAAAATATTAATCATATTAATATTGATTACTAGATACATTTATTATATAAACATTGTATTTGTAAACACAATTTTAAAAGTTTTACATCTTTGTAAGGTGCAGTACATGCCAAACAGAATATCACTAATCTCCCCTGCTTCTCTTCTGTAGTAAGTGACTGTCCTTTGTTTATTAGCCTCTTCTAAAAGCACTTAAGATCCTTGGGAAGAGAATCACTGCTTGATTAACATTATCCAAAGTACCGTCACGGAATCCACTGAACTCTAATCTATGCTTTTTGACAGCTTTAAATATTTTATTTTCCATTATTCCTAAAATAATAATTACAATATACATGTACATGTATTTATCATTCATCAATTTAGAACTCTTTAGTTTATGCCACATTATTATTAAGGTACTAAATGGTCATTTTGATTTTATAAGTTTATAAAATGCAGTAATTTCATTAAAAATCTGTAAGAATCCAAAGTGCGATGGTGACGCCAAAGCCCGATGGTCTCGCCAAACCCCGATGGTCTGCGCCAAACCCCGATGGTTTGTTGTCATCACGGACGCCAAAGTCCGATGGTCACGCCAAAGTGCGACGGCTCGTTTCCTATGAGACACGTTGCGCTAAAGTGCGATGGTCTGACACGCCAAAGTCCAGTCTACGCGAAAGTTTAAAATTTTTACAGGACAAAATGTCTGGTAAAAACAAAATTTTGACCAGACCGAACAATTTCTTACCAGACCGACTTTTTTTCCCTTTAAAATCCATAAATCATTATTATACTTTAGATTAAGAGGGTGGGTGGGATGGGGTTAATTTTCACTGTGAAATTTAACCTTAAATAAATACAGAGTGAAATAGGAAAGTTAACTATTTATAATTTTCCTTTGCAAAAGATGTCTATTTATATAATTGCATGCATTTTTTTCTTCATATTTGACTTATACAACATACACTGTATCAAAGATTTTCTTAAATTTAAGATGCACTTTCAATGCATATTTATTTTTCCTGAAACAATTCATTATGGTTACTCAAGTCAATAATCATTTGAAAATAATTTCCCAACCGAATCTACGTATAAGCTATCTAAATATTTTCCCAACCAAATTTACGTATGAGCTATCTAAAGATCTCTAATCCTTGACAGAGGAAATTCGAATTAGAATAAAAACGATCATGACAGGGTTGTAATACATAAAAATTAATCAGGTATTACTACAAAATTGGTCAAATAAAGGATATTTGTGGGGAATTTGACCATGTGTACCTCTTAATTTAGATTTATTTGGCCTTATTTTTTATCGGACATTTGGTCCTGTATACTAAAATTTTTTACCGACCCGACCTAAATTTTACCGGTAAAAACCGACGGTCCGGTGACTTTCGCATAGACTGAAAGTCCGATGGTTCGAAGAAACAAAATAATTCGACGTCAATCCTTGACGCCCTTTTCATGCATTCAAATGCTCATTTCCGAATTTATTCTTGCAGACGCTTTTATTCATTTTGCGTATTGCTGACATGTTTCAGAGATATTAGGATTAATCCTCGCACACCACACAACTGATTAGGATCAGTCCTTTTAAATTGCTTTGATATAGGGTTAGTCCTCACACACTAGTCAAGTTATTAGGGTTTAGTATCGCACCCACCAAAGATATCTAGATACCTATAAAGCTGTTAGTCCTACTCACTTTTCTACCGATTAGGGTTAGTTTTGCAACTATTCGAGAGATAATGATTAATTTTCGCATAATGAAGAATGTAAATACTTATTTAAAACCTTGGCATGGTGTGGCTTTGTAGTTTGGAGCAATAGTACTATGACGTCATATACGTTAATTGTTTCTCCGCACCATCGCACTTTGGCGTGTCAGACCATCGGGGTTTGGCGCAGACCATCGGACTTTGGCGTGACCATCGGACTTTGGAGTCCCATCGCACTTTGGAGTCCTACAAATCTAAAATGGTTGCATGACATATATTCTCCCACCTTTGGAGTCTTATTAGTTGGTGGTGTTCAATGGTGTTTCCTTGCCGTCTGTAATAAATAGTGTAACCTTTTCCTTCAAAACCATGATGCAGCCCATCGTGTACATTCTGTGAAATTATTAATTAAAAATGGGGTATACATGTAATTCATTTCAACAAAAATAATACTAATTTATGAAATACAGTGAAACAAAAGTTATAACAAAGTCACCGGAACCTATGAAATTACTTTGCTACATCTGTTACTCCTTATATCAATATAAGGAATTTGTTAAATTTATATAGCTGGGGATCTAAAATAACTTCGCTATATCCATGAATTCGCTATATCCATGTTCGTAGTAAATGAGTTTTGCTGTATGTGAAATATCTTTTCTACTAGTGTATTTTTCATCATTTGCAATATGTCTCCGGTTTTAACTTTAGTAAAATTTAAACAGCATTATAAACTTGAAGCCACACTACTTAGGCTTCTTCCAATGACTTCCATATCAGTACAATATTAATCATGGCTTTGCTGTTCTAGGGAAGATTCTCCCCTATATATTGCAATGTGAAACTTTGATCCCCATTGTGGCCCCATCCTACCCAAAGGGGGGTTTAACTTAACCAATTTATTTATACACTACATCATCAGAGAATGCTTCCATATCATCACTTTGCTGTTCTTGAGATTTTAAAAGATTGTTACTTAAACCATTCCAAGTTTTCTATCTATTTTTTAAGATCCATGTGCGCCTTGGTTATGAATCCCAATGAGAAAAGACCTCTTTTTTTCATTCAAAAGTCATGACCAAGGTTAAAGTTTTTGAAAAATTTTACATGTCCAGTCGGGTGTCAAATCTGAAATCTGTTTCAATCTGTTTGCCTGTGACAAAATTTGTGCATCTCAGGCGGTTGAGCAACAGTTATTTTAAACACTGCCTTAACCATACTTGTCAATCATACTTTTTCATGCTTCATTGCACACAGGGGAGTGCAGAGTTACTTAAACAGGTCTGACAGTATCTGACGTCAGCTTAAATTTGCATGTAAATTGGCTATCAGTTTACAGTTTTCTTTACATAGTTTAAGACAGCAGTACAAGGTGCACAATTTTCATTTAAACCCTCAATCAAATATCAAAAGTAGGACATGCAAACCTCACAAGATTTGTACGGTACGTATTGGAGGCAACTACAGTGGAACCTCATTTATCCGGACGCTTTGGTTCCTAGTCAATTTGTCCAGATATGTGAAGGATCCAGATACCTGAATTACCATTTAAACAAGACAAAATAACGTTAAAAATTTCCGTTTTGATGAAAAAGCCTCCGGATACTGAAGCATCCGGATATCTGGCGTCCAGATATCTGAAGGTCCACTTTATTTATCATCTAAAACTACAATTTTAAATGTGAGCATTGAGCAGTGTGTTTGAAAAAATAATCTTTCAATTTTGGCTGTATAAAGTAAAAAGAAACTTTCTTGTTCTTGGTGATGAAGTAAATAAAGTATGTTATTATCTGATTGAATAATTTTCTTCTCTCTGATTGACTGAGAACCAACTATGTTAGAAAAATGCTACGTTGCATTGACCTGCACGTGACGTTCCAGGTCAATACAAGGAGTTATTGCAGGTCAATATAAGGAATTATTGACCTGTTCAATTTTTTCTGTTACAACGTGTTCTTGTTGAAAGTTCTTGTTACTTTCCATTAAAGCAAAGAAACAGTCTTGTAGGAGTTTGCTATCATTTAATCATATAATAAAACAGTTATTGCTGTTTTTTGCAGTCAATACGATGATTTATCCACCTTCGAAGTACTATATTCACTTCGCCCTTCGGGCTCAGTGAATATTGTACTCCTCAGGTGTCTAAATCATCGTATTGCATGCATGACCTTAAAAACAGCAATAATTGTATACAGTAAACCGACAAAAACTGTGTGTAGCTTTTGATTTGTATTAACAAATAGTAGACTGTCATGCTTGAGGACTCATTCAGTTAATTTGGAGAATGCTAGAGACAAAAACATTGTGCTGAAAATTGCCTTCCATTAACGGTATACATGGTATAGTGTACACGAGCTTTTGAGAAAATGGAAATTCGTCTTTTGCTTAATTAAAAGTATTCAACAGCTGCAATACTACAATTTAAGTATCTATGATTTGAGGTTATTTTTAAGACTCATAATACATTGTCATATAGGACTTGTAAAATACATTTGACTGCATATAAAAAGCTTTACCAAGCTATTTTGAATAGATTAATAGCAAGTGCAGCGAGGGTCGCAAAGCGATGCACGTAACTGCGAGCTCTAATGACAATGCCTGTGCAAAGAGAAAATTTGGAATACTGCAAATTCATTTCGTAGAATTTTTTATCGCAGTAATTTAGACCCACATGCAATGCTTTGATTCGTACACAAACTCTAAAGCAACGTTCTCGTGAGAATAACAACAAAAGATAAACGAATAATAATTTTGTCTTGATTTAATTAAGATAGAAAGACAGTCATTAACTGATTGAAATCAGCCTTGTTCAGGCTTCGGTTTGGTAAAGCAACATACAAACGACGTCATATGACATCAGAGTCTAATACGCACCAAATGTCATGTGCGGATTTACATGTCCAATCTAAATGAATATGGATAAGAATCTGCGCTCGCCTTAACGGTCGCACCGTCAACATATTAAAGCTACATAGCTATTTCAAGCTACAAAATTAATTATCTTAATCAAGACATTTTTCTGGATCTGATCTTACCTGGTGAAATGTAACTGTCCAAATGTGACATTTTCCCTCTCCAAGTCGAGTATGCTGAAAAATCGGACTGCCACCCCTCTCTGAGAGTTTACTCTTGCACTCTGGTGGATTACCGTAGAAGTTTAACTTCCGAGATCGATCACAATGGTGTCAGTAGGCGAGTAGCATTTCGGGAAAGCGTCAACATGGTCAATAATGGATATACTGATCAACACGACACATGCCTACTTTCGCCCCAAAAACTATGCCTAATCTGTTCTTGTAAAATCCTTCCAACCAATTTATGTCACTTCACACATATTTTTGCAATATACATCACAGGATGCATCAAAATAACTTTGCAGCGTACAGCTAACCATGGAGCCTGCCATTATTTTTACTAGCGCCACCTATGTAAACTTGCAAAGGGAGATAACTCTTTTGAAGAATCTTAACAAATTCTCGATTTTAAACACCTTGTATCTTTTCAATACTTCGTTTGCACAAAAATGTTAAAGTAAATTTTTATTAAGCCTTCCATTTTCACTTTAATCATGATGTATTAAGTTTTTGTACATCTTCTTGGGTTTTAAAGATATTCTTTCCTGAAATAGGCATCATTTGCACACTATCTATACAAAATTACACCTCAAGTACTTTATCCCTGGCTATATGAAAAAAGAAGAATTATAACGAAATCAACTGTTTATATTCATTTTAGACCCAAATGAATATATTAAACCCAATTTTTATGAATTTGAAGATTATCGATGAATCACCTTTTCTGTACTATCTGCATGATTTTTACACGGAGCCGTACTTAAAGATTTTCTAAAAGGGAGTATAGTAATGAAGGCTTAAATATTGTCCGAGTACAGGCATAAGTTCTTTATTCTTTGAAAAGAAAAATGATCGGGTTTGTTCTTCATTATGAGATATAAGCGATAAATTTAATTTTTTTAAAGGTGACCACGCCATTGCAAATAGCGATATCGGATCTTGAACGCACCACTGTTAAGAAGCGGAAGGAAAACCCTTCGCAAGCAAAGCAAGATTTATACTGATACAAGATTAAGCGCTGCATGCAGTATATATGTTATTTTTACAAAGGTAAATCTTTACATATTTCGACTTTATCATTTTACATGTTTAGCCCTGAACAGATATGAAAGAAAAACAAAATAAAGAAAACGAAACAGGAAACAATTATCAAATATTATGCTATTGTGGATTTTGGAGTAAGAATCGAAACCGAAAGTAAGAATTTTTTAATTCCAGAGGGTATTGATTTGATGGAAGTTTTGCATCCCCAGGTTATCTGACAGAGTTCATTTAAAGAGAAAATAAATGGGTAATGAAACATTTATTGATGTTAAATCTCTACTTTAAAAAATCTAAGAGTGTTGAATGTTTTTTCTTTATTTGCATACTACACCTGTACTACATGTACATATCTCATTTGGGCATTTCTTTTGGCATTACGTAAGCTTCTGAGCTATCCATTATTTGTTCTTTCCTTACAATTGCGTTCATTGGCCGTCTTCCTGGATCTTGATTAGTTGAAAAAAAAACATGTTCATAACAACGGGTTACTAGCTATAAGCAGGATATACCTGATTAAACCGCCGTGCAGTCAAATTGCAGTAGGCGGAGCTATATGTGGTTACTACACTTCTCTATTTCGTCTACATGTATTTATATAGCCAAAGTCAAAAAAATCTAACCTAATATAGTCACAAGACACTCTTCTACAAAACAAGAAGTATATTTTAATTAATCGTTCAGGTTATCTGACATTTTAATAGGGTCAACAACATAATAAAATCTACTTGTAAGGTGTTGCTACTACGCCGAACAGAAAAACGGTACGGAACAGAAAACAGAATAGATTATTTTAGATTAAATTATTATTAAAGCCGCTTGATCCGAAACAGGCACATATTATCTTACACAATAAAAGTACGTCATTACATAGATAAGATATAAAAATAAATTATAAGATTGGTTTAATAGTTTATTACACAATCCTTACGTGGAAATCATAGATCAAAAACCTTATTGACAAACAGAAGTTCTGACAGGAAGTTAAGATCTGTTGAGAAGTCACCTTTGAAAAATAATAAACTTATCGCTTTTATCTTATTATGAAGATAATTCAAACCCGACTATTTTTTTCCAAAAGTTGAAGTCTATCACGGGATATATAATCCATAGTAACTTTTATATCAATATGCGTATTTAAAGAATGGAGGAAAATCAGATATGATTGCGCCCATGAGAAAAGGGTCCTTATGACATTTTCACTAAAACAGAGAAATAACGTCATAAAGACGTGACGTTGCAAATCGACGGCGAGTGTCAACGCAGATTTTTTTTTTTTTTTTTTACCACGTGTTTACGTTTTTGACACTAACTTTTGTCGTAGGTCTGAATATTGATAATAGTCTCTTATTGAGCTGTCAGTCTCTTATTCAGCTGACAGCTCAGTGACCTAGAAACGAATTTGAAAGAGGGAATTAAACTACCTGAAAAGAATTTGACAAGCTTAAAAAAAAAGGACAATTGTTTCATTCGGAAGGGGGCATAAGTTCCAACTCCAACATCTTTCAGTACTATTTTTTTTACACTGGTTATTTACTTCAATAATTACATTAACAAAACGCATGGGGGTTTCAGTGAACATTTCTATTGTAAAAAGGTTATGTCTTGAAAAAAAAGGGCGGCAAATATTTGATATCTAGATGAACCATGGTATAATGTAAAATGTAAAAAAAATATTCTTAAGATTGCCATCAGAGCTAACCTTTCCGTTAAGTTCAGATAGTCGCCCGCGTGATGCAGTAGTTAGAGCGTCTGCTCTTGAGTCGCAAAGTATGGAGTTGATCCTTACGTGGCTGTTTCAAATTCCCACGTTGAGATCGGTCCTTCAGATGAGACCGTATAAACCGAAGTCCCTTGTCGCAGTAGGTGCTGGCACGAAAAAAGCTCAATGACCCTAAGTGCCGAGTATAAGACAAAATTTGCAGCTCTCCAGCGGCAAGCGGTGGCCGGCATCTCAATGTGAATAAAACATTCTCCTCTAGAGGTACGTTTAACAACATGCAATCAATCAATCTGGCAAGCTCGGATAAACACCTCTAATGTAGTACTTGAGTAGTTGTTAAAACTTTGTACAAAATAGAGTCGTTTCCTACATGATAAAATTCTGGATAAATGAGGATGGTAAACTTTTCTGTGGTAAAGAGGGTGTTGCAGTTCTTTTGTCATTTTCCCTAAATGTAAAGCAGATTAAAAGAAGAATTTTATGTTAAAGAAACTAATATTAATTTTTCTCAAATGCAAAAGTGTATAAAGCAAAATGAGGAACAAAATTTGGAAGTTGCTTATTGACTTCCAATTTGCCATATAAAACGAAGTTCCGCTTTTCGTTCCGTTTTCCAACTATACGTATTTCGTGTTTCTATGCTTCATTTGATTTAACTCCGCCCATCAACCAATCATCTTTTAAAAAGGTTGTCCAACTGAAAAGGACATTGCTTAACGCCTATCAGAATGAAGAGCGTAAAGAAGTAGTTAAATGAGAACAGCAATTACATGTTGTTTTACATCCGTCTGGAGAATTTTAACTCATTTGGAGAAGCATCCACTTGTCGGTAGAGGGCTGCAAATTTTAACATATGCTCAATACTGAGGGTTATTGAGCAGTAAGGGATCTTTTTTGTGCCAACGCCTATTGCGACACGAGACTGATTTATACAGACTGGTCTCCACGTCCCGCAGTGGATTCGAATCCGCAACGTAAGGATCGACACCTTAATCTGCGACTCTAAAGCAGACGGTCTATTTACTCCGCCACGCGTGCGACAAGCAATATTGCAAGTTTCGGGTACATTTTATTTTCCTCTTAGGAAAATATTGCAATTCAATTTTCTTTGTTGTTGGTTTTTTTAAAATTTGAATGATTTTTTTAAAAGGCATTGCTCAAAATTCTCATAAATTGTTAAATTTCAAAAGCATTTTTTTTTGTTTTTTTCACAGAGACCTTTCAGAATTCTCATAAATTGTTAATTTTTAAAACTTTTGTTTTGAATAAGCGTAATTCAATAAGTACAAGTCATCTTTGGCTGTTTGGAATTGACTATTAAGAATCTGAGTAGTACCATGAAAACGTATTTTCCAGCTGGTGCAAAGTAAATCAGACTATAGCTATATATAGCTGATTTAGCTGATTTAAGTCCTCTTCAAGAACACATATGACATAATCCAGATGTTCCCATCGGTAGCAAGTCAATTTTCTTCAAAATTACTTTAATTCGGGCTTTGTTTTTATCAATAATTTCTTACATTTAAATGGAAAGTTTTACAGTTTTGATTTCATTCAATATAACATGAAGGCAAATGCAAACTATGTTGAATTATCAGAATATGCAGGACTAAGGAGAGCAATTAGAAAGAGACTACTGTAGTATCCTGTTTTAAGGATTATAAAATAAAGCCAATTCTTAGACCACTGTTTCCATCCAGTCTTGGAATTTTCTTAAAGAGTAAAAATGTTAATGTTATCATTAAGAATAAAAAGTGCAATATAACTTCAGTTATAAAATGGAGTGCAAAATGGGTAAGAATTTAGTGAATAATACTGGGAAAAATGTTTTGAGCTACCTTTCAAAACACCCAAGAATCAAAACGTCAATGGTAACAATTCCAAATCTACATAGAATAATTCCTACTAAATGCGATCTTTTCAAATGAAGACTTATTGATTCAACATTATGTTCCTCCTGTGAGAAAGATATTGAAACTATTGATCACCATTTTGTTGAATGTTCCGTTGTAAAAGAAGTTTGGTTAGAGATTGAGGAATGGATCTTGCAAAAAATGAACAGGTCTGTTTTTTGGATGGGCAATCAATTTTATTTGGTAAACAGAAACTCCTGCAAGTATAGAAAATCTACTAATTCCGATTATAAAACTATATATTTTTGCAAGTAAGTATGCCAAAACTATAAAATTAAACACTGAGGCTTTGAAAAATGTTATAACGTAAAGAATTAGAGTAGTGAAAATTATTTTGTTAAAAAATTGTAAATATGATGAATTTGAAAGACACTTGCAGGAAATAGTAGAAAAAAAAATAAAAAAAAAATCTTACCGTAAATTATCCTATAAAGTTTGTGCCCCCTCATCTTTTTCTCTCTCTCTTTCTCCTCTCTTCCTCATTCTCTCTCTCTCTCTCTCTCTCTACATTAACTTTCACGCTAGTTTTGTTATTACCTCTTTTTTGCTCTATGTCAAACTGTCCTGTACATTCATTTACATATATACGTTTGTTTGTATTTGTGTAATAAACTCTTTAATAGAAGAAAAACACTATTGTTTAAAGTTACAAAAATTAAATTCAAAGAAGGTTTTCAAAATTACCACATAGCTGTTTTAGAAATTCCTTATAAAAAAGTCTCGTAAATTATTATTTTTTTTCTAAGCTAAATAGTGACTTCAAAGTCCTCAAATAACTGTGTTCATAGTTTCAGATATGTTCTCTTATATTATAACTATGATTTCTAATAGAAATGAGCCATGCATAGTACGAGTGGTCGGTAGAAACTATTCCTGCTAAACTATCCCATTTTCTAGAACCACCTTTAACACCTGAGTGTTAAACAGTGGTAAGTGTTCCTATGTAATTTACAAACCCCTGTCACACCGGGGCTGCGTCCTCACGGCGACTGCATTGCGTCCTCAAAAAATGCAAAACGCCGAGGTGATCGCAATAGAGTCTCCTACAGCACCGTGACAACGTGGCGAGATCTCCACTGAACGCCGTTGGGTCGAGTAGGGTCTCGGTCTCCTAGAACGCCAGGGGACGGCGATCACTTTGGGCATGCACAAAGTACGCGCCGTGTGATCGCGGTCTGATAACAACGCATTAGAAACGTTGTATGATCGCCGTAGCAGAGCGGTGAGATCTCCAACAACGTAGTGGGAGCTCCGTAGGAACGCCGTGAAGACGCACATGATCGCGGCACGAACGCAGTGATAGAGGACTTCGCTTCCACGGAGACCTCACCGTCCTCACGGAGATGTCGCGGAGTCCTAGGAGATATCATTGCGTTTCTATCGCGTTTTTACGACGCCTCTAATGATATTTATCGTCTTGTGATTTTTTCGACTGCGATTACACGGCGACAGCACGGAGTTGTCACTGCGATCATTGCGCTTCCATGGCGTTTCTACAGCGTCCGTTGGCGATCACAACGCGCTTTCGCGGCGTTGTTAGAGTGTTGTCAACCAGCTAACAAAACAAAAGCAATGGGATCATATTTTGATCAGCAATATTTCCAACGTATTTGCTGCACTAGGGGCATTTAAGTGTAAAAATGGAAGAGAAAATTACAACAGAACTTATTCTGTTGTTTCACTTATTTTTTGTAGAAAACTTTTCAGTGTGTTTACTGGTATTTTTTTTACATTCATAATAAAATCAAAGAAAATCTAACAACACATCTGAACCGATGAAATTGAAAAAAGGAGTTTAATCATAAAACTATTAAATTCTAATAATTTAGTACTTAATTATTTAAATACAGAATTTTTAATTAATCAGAATATTTCTAGGCATGATTAGAAGTCTTTTCATCGTGTTACTTGTATATTTAAACAAAAATGTTTTACAATCCTTCTGAATTTATATCAATGAGTATAGAACACATTGTGAACGTATTGTGAACGCAGCAAGCTCAGTGAGAACGCCGTGAACACGAGGTGAAAACTCCTAACGCGCCGTGAAAACTCCGCGGAAGCGCAGTCAATCGACGAGAGATCTCGTGGGAAAGCAGTAGAACTCCGTGAGATCGCCGTAGAATCGCATCCGTCGCCGTAGGGACGCCGTGACATCTTCATATTGTGAAAATTTTACAGAAATTTGTGCAATTTTCATGCGATTCCACGGCGATTTTTTAAATTAAACAACGCCGTAAAGACTCCGTGTGAATGCAGCTTGGTTTGACAGGGCCTTAAAGTATATAATACGTCAATTGTCTTTATGAATGATAAATTTTATACTACATTCTTTTAATTTTTCAAGAGCTATTTCACAGGCGATCAAATATTTGGTTTAGATATATGTGTTTACTCTTCCTTAATTAGATGACTGAATTGGATGGATATACCATTCCCGTATTTTCTGTGAATGAATGCCCTGATGATGAATTCAGCTGGCAGAAAGCATCAAAAAGACTGAACTGCAGTAGCGACAGTTCCCTGAAGTACAGATATCACTGTGTTTCAAATACACAAAGAACTTCATTGGTCGAGTTCTGCTATGATGCTACTAGACCACTTGTTCAAAAAGGTATCTTCTTCAATTATCAACACTTAAATTAAGAATAATTTTAGCCTTTTTTAATCGTAAGTCGTTATGATTGATTGATTTTATGTTGTTAAAAGTCCCTCTCGAGATTTTTTCACTCATATGGAGACACCAACACTTGCCGGTTGAGAGCCATTGAGCAGTGAGGGATCTCTTTTGTGCTAGCATCTACTGCGACATGGGACCTCAGTTTATTCGGTCTCATCCGATAGACCGTTCTCCACATCCCACATTGTTGTCACACTCGTGTCGCAGTAGAAGATGTCAGTAAATGATGTCTCACTGCTCAATAGCCTTGAGTGTCAAGTATATAGTGTACGTCAAAATTTACAGCTCTCCACCGCATAGTGGTGTACGTAGTGTCTCCATACGAGTTAAAATTTCTTGAGAGGGACCTTAAAACAAATCATTATACCTCTACTGTAATTACACTATATAAAATCAATACCATAAAACTGTCTATTTCCCCGAGAAGAGACAATTTCCCTCATCTGAAGACTACTCCCTGGAAAATCAGAGCTACTCCCGGGGACTACTCCCTCATGAATATTTATTAGTAATTTTAACCAATCAAAGTTTTCAGTGGGCGCTCTGTTCAAGGAATCTCGAGGCTGTGACGTCATGTTATTAGCAATTTAACCATTTCGACATGCGATGTCAAAATCATACTTGAATACTAGCAAAATGAAGACAACAAAAATTCTACAAAATGTCAGTGAAAATACTTTTAAAAAATACTTTAATTGTTTTAGGACACGATATATTAATTACAATTAGTTAAACCGCATGCATGTGTAATTATGCCTCTACAGTGATTTTTTTAAATGTCGGAATATCTGGTAAAAAAAAATTAAATCGCCTATGATTGTTTCGGTATAATAAAACAGTTATGGAATGGGAACTCGGGAAATAGCAAATTTATGGTTCCCCTCGGCAGGAAACTATTTCCCTCGGCGCCTTCGCCGCCTCGGGAAATAGTCCCCTCCCTCGGGGAACCATAAATTTGCTATTTCCCTCGTATCCATTCCATAACTGTATACAAATATATGAGGCCAGTATATTTCACTATAGAAGGAAAGCTAATGTATATTATGTTGCTGATAAAAAAATGCTTGTCGCACGTATATCATTACAGCTGTAGATATATATATATATATATATATATATATATATATATATATATATATATATATATATATATATATATATATATATAACACAATTTACAACAACTCTTAAACTAAAATAACTGCCCTAAGTGAAGAAATATTAATATAGAAAGCACAAAGAAATTCACTTTTACATGGATACCCACTTCCACCTTAGCCCGGGGTTGAACTCTCGACCTTCGGAATCTGTCTCCTAGCAGTGCAGGAACAGCGCGCTAGACCGCTCGGCTATCTAGGCAAGTAAAAAAAACTTGCTTTCGATGCCGATGGAATTCTCGCGGCGCTGCCCTACACTACACGGTCATTAAGAATAGAAGTGAGATACAGTTATTTGGACATTAGTTTTAACAGAGGATTGTTACCAATACATGTTGTAATGAAATTAATTATTATTTATAAAGCACAATTTACAACTCTTAAACTAACATAACTGCCCTAAGTGAAGAAATATTAATATAGAAAGCACAAAGAAATTCACATTATATGGGTACCCACTCCTGCCCCAGCCCGGGGTTAAACGCTCGACCTACGGAATCTGTCTTATAAATAATTAACTGCCAAGAATTTAACTTATCAACGTATTCTTGGACTGGTACAAAATCAGGATGTCGCAGACAAGAACCAAATCAGTAGCGGAAAATACTGGAATAGAAAAGATTTTAGAAGAAATATCCGGAAAATTATCAATTTTTTGTAGTAAGTGCGATAACTTTACTACTTCATTACTAACTATGGAGCAGCAAACTCTTGAATACAAAAAAAAAAAAAAATGACCTTTTGCCCTTACATAAAGAACTGTTAGAGAACAATGAAAATAGAGAAATTAATTCTGAGGAATTTCCTTATACAAGTGTGCAGGAATTATTTCAAGAATGGAGCGATCTTAATATTGAAAAAGATGCTTACAAAAAGAGAAACCAAATGTTATGATTATGCCCCCCTTCGAAGAAGGGAGGGCATATTGCTTTGCTGTTGTCTGTCGGTCTGTCGGTCCACTTAGTTTCTGTTCATTTTCTTCGCAACCGTTGCACATACTGAAATGAAATTTAGTATACAGATATATCACATGAATATCTAGGTCACTTTCTGTTTTGGGTACAATCGTGCCATTTTTGACAGAGTTTTGCCCCTTGGACTTAGAAAAAATTCAATTATTTGCAGTTTCCGTTCATTTTCTTTACAACCGTTGGACATACTTAAATGAAATTTAGTATACAGATATATCACATGAATATCTAAGTCAAGTTCTGTTTTGGTTACGATCGCACCATTTTTCACAGAGTTATGCCCCTTGGACTTAGAAAAATTTCAATTATTTGCAGTTTCCGTTCATTTTCTTTGCAACCGTTGCACATACTGAAATGAAATTTTGTATACAGATATATCACATTAATATCTAGGTCAAGTTCTGGTTTAGGTATGATTGCACCATTTTTGACAGAGTTATGCCCCTTGGACTTAGAAAAATTCCAATTATTTGCAGTTTCCGTTCATTTTCTTCACAACCGTTGCACATGCTGAGATGAAATTTAGTATACAGATTTATCAGATGAATATCAAGGTCAAGTTATGTTTTGGGTACAATCGTGCCATTTTTGACAGAGTTTTGCCCCTTGGACTTGGAAAAATTCCATTTTGGGGGGCATAAGTGTTTTACAAACATCTCTTGCTATGGTACAAACTTTTAAACCAGAGAAAGCAAGCCTATTGGAATGCCTATTGGAATGCCATAAAAAGCGAAAATTTAGCCGACACCTATGAGGAATGGAAAAACTGTGAAAATGTTATTTTTCCTAGAAAATTCCGAGTTAGGGAAATAACAACAGAACCAAGTGAAGAAACCAAAATCCGAATCAGCCTGGCACTTCAAAGATTTGAAGCAGAAATTACACTACTTCGCCTTAGAATTCCGAAATACAAAAACAACTATGATATACAATTAATCACTCTTTATGAGGTCAACATGGTGAAATGATGACCCGAGACCTGACCCACGAGGTGACCTGACCTGACCGAGGCCCACGGCCGAGGTCAGGTCAGGTCATCGAGTGGGTCAGGTCAAGGGGCATCATTTCACCATGCTGACCTCATAAAGGGTGATCAATTGTTTTATTATACCGACAATAATGATAATGAAAAATTTGAACACATGAAACATTTTATTTCAACAGTTTCAACAGAATAATGCATATTCTGAAATATCAATTTTAGCAACAATAACTTCAAATTTGATTGTTCAATTGAAATGCGAAAAACACATCTTACAACCGTTAACGATTACAAAAGTCCAGTAAAGAACTTTACATTATCTTTACTTTTGTTGTTCCTTTCCTACATAATAGTGAATATGCACTTGTCCGACTTTCTAAATACTGGACCACAAGAGTTTTGAGGCATTTTGTCAACTTTAACATTCTCTTTTTCTTCTGGAACAAACAAATCTGAACTATTTTCATCAACCAGGACTTCAGAAAGCAATTTTTCGGTACTGACAGTCTCAAATTCACAGTAATTTAAATCCAAGAGCTGAGTTTCTGAAGTATCGGTACTAGAATGTGTTGGAACTACTGGGTTTTCTAGCCCTAGCTTTGGTGATGGATAAACCACAGATGATAAAACATCAAACATTTCTTGCTTTTTGGATTCACTTACACATGTTGAATAGCTTTTTATCGAGGTTTCCGACTTATGTCCACTTACAGACATGATATGTCTAGCTTCTATCCCACGCTGATCCAAACTAGTAATACACGTGGCACGTATGCAGTGGTTTGTATACAGAGTTTAGAGTTCAGCTTTCATAGAAATTGTTTTCATAAAATTTCCCAAAGTGTTATGACCTACTGGAGAATTATCATACCAAACAGCATCCGAATCTTTGATATGGCGCTTCGGTCTCTGCCAAAAACTTTCACAATTTGGATTCAGCTTTGCAAGGTATTTCTCCAGGCTAGACACAGGGCACTTCTCATCACCTACATGAACATATTAACATGAAAAAATTGTAAAGCAGTTGAATTCAGGAAGATTATGATCTAAAATTAGTTAATACTGAAGTTTACATGAATTTTATTTTAAATGATTGTAATTGAAGTATTATTACCTGGTATTTCATATATTCTTGCTGAAGATGCATCATAGTCATTAACATCACTTCCTCTGTGATTTTTGGTTTCATACTGAGCGACATTTAAATAATATCTCCTTCCTTGGCCATCTGTCCTCAAAACAAAATCAGTTTTCTTCATACTTCTCAAATTTTCCCTTCCTCTTCTACATGTGTAGAACATCACATCAAGAAAAACTTTATACTGCAACCCCTGCGGACTCTTTCCGGTTAGGACGCCGCTGCTATACAATGTTGCCATGTCAGCATCGCTGATAACTTCCTTGTGCTGAGTGGTTCCCTTTCCAGTTCGTTTGATGTTTGTCAAAACTGCCTTGAACATTTCGTTTGATAGACGAAAATCTGGGTCATTAATAATGTCATAGTTAATTTTTTGGAAAAATCTCTGCAAACCAAACCTGATGCTGATCATGGAAGATCTACTATACAATTCACCATCTTTTCTTCTGAGTTCAGCGTAAAAGTTGATCAGAATTTCAGCAATTTCACCTTTTGTTTTTTGCAGTACGTTGTCCACTATCAGTCCCTTTTCAGTGCAGTATGTAATGAAAATTCGTTTCGCTGAATCTATACATTGTTTTGTGTTAGAACTATCGCGGTTCTCTAGGATCGCTTGTAGTTCCTCACTACTCAAAGTTGCAAATCTTGATTCACCAGCCATCGTTTTCGTAAACAGACGACAAATC